CAACATAAAATATTCTGAACAAATAGTGCAGTTTTTTCAATCAAGAGCCTATATAAAACATTCGCTTAACAAAGTTAATATTGATAGAAGTTTTTCGTTCACTACGTTTTGATGTTTTGTTAAAATTTCGTTGTATGTAGTTCAAAATAATTAAAACATACGCATTTATAAAACAGCAAAAATCTTGTTTTTTGGAAGTTTTTAGTTTTTTTAACGTTTCTCAGATTTTGGAAAAAAATGTGCTGTACAAAATTCATAATTTACAGATCGCTCTTTTAAATAAAAGAAAAAACTTGTTTAGTTAAAAATTAAGCAATATGATCTAGCAGAGTTTGATATTCGTGTAATGTACGTTAGTGATGACAAAGAACAAAATAATTATAAATAATACAGAATAAATAACAACAGTCTAATCCTTTTATTTATTGTGATCAGAAACAAGTTCAAGAATAATTCTTCTCATGAAGGAAGGTCTCCAACTAATCCACGCCGTTTTCAATGATATTTTGTCCATATGTCAGGGACAGTATTCTAAAAAAGTTGTAAGAGGATTTGGACCAATGGTGCTTCTTTCGAAGGTTATGACCATTTCACTCATTTTTTCACTTAGCACAAGATATACAGGGAAAAATTGAACAACGGAATTTCAATCTAAAGTTTTGCTCATATGTAGCTCTTGTAGTCATTAGAGCACTGTAAAAATTTCCGTGGAGAAAAATATTTCCTTCTGGAAATATTGATTTTTAAAAATTTGTCTCATAATCTATAAAGTCCTGAAAGATTGACTTTTATCAAAATTTAATATTTTCAAAAGGAAACATTTCTTTTCCACTGAAACTTTTAGAATGTTCTAACGATCACAAGAGCTACATATGAGCAAAATTTCAGATTGAAATTCTGTTGTTCAATTTTCCCTATAAACTCTGTGCTAATTTAAATTGTAGAATAATTGAACTATATTTATTCTTCATATGGAAGTATCAAAGAATATTGAACATAATTATATTTCATAGAAGTGCAATATGCAAATATTATAAATAAACATTGATCTTTTGTCATTGAAATTCAATATAACTTAGCAATCAAAAAAACAAAGAAAATTTTTATTTTTATCACTTGATTTTCTTGCTCAATAAAATCCTAATAATATATTTAACCAATTATATCTTGAGTAATATTTTTTTTTTGTTAGTTAAAAAAAAAAATGAAAAGAAGACTTGTCTAGATTTTTCATATAAATCACATAGATGCAAATTTTTTTCTGTATCTTATCAATTATAGTCACTGTTCATATATTTGTTTTTGTATTATTATTTAAAGTTTAAATACACTTGCTGATTGTCGAATACCATTGTAGACTAATATATTATCAATAGGTACATATTGATGTGTAATTAATTTAATTGCTTCTTGTGCACAACATCCACCAATAAAAGCTGATATTGAATGAAGTTCTGATGCACCATATCGACATAATTCTTCAAGAATATTTTCTCTTATAGGATTTTGTTGTCTATCACAATTTAATAATTGTTTTCCAACTTGTTTTAAATCATTGAAATCTATTTCAAGTTGTCTTTGATCGATATTGATTTCATTTGTTGATAAAGGAAATTCACCAGGATAACGTTTAAATTTTTCATAAAATAAATCACATAAACGCAAACCAATATACCTAAAATAAAAATACAAGATTAATACTATTTTGATCGAAAAAAGAAAAATATTAAAATTATATAAATTATTGTTTTGTTAAAGATAAACAATATATATATGTATTTCATTTCTAATATTGATATCCATAAGAATAGATTGTGTATCTCATCATCAACAACTGAGATTGTCGAAATGAAGATTATCGAATGTCTTTTGATCATCTATGTTCATAAATTTCGTTTCAGTAATCATTCCTTACGTTCACTCTTTCTCAATGTTTATCATATATATATATACTTCAGGTATCATGTCTAAATATTGCCGATAGTTACATCATCGAAACGCCAATTACCGAATTTCGGTGAAGAGCATTCTAACTCATTGAATTACCGCATACCATCATGTTTGTTTCAGTTATTGATCGTTCTTGTTTTCATATTACACTTCACTAATGTCAAACATTAGAACTTTCATGAGAATATGATTCGATATTAATTGAGAAAGAATCAAAAAAAGAAAAATTAAATAAATAATTTACCAAGAAATATCTGATTCGAATTCATCTGATGATGATTCTAATGGAATTTGTTCAATTTGTTTTTGTAATAAATCATCTTCATTTTTAATTGATGTTGTTCTTAGAACATTTAAAAATGATGCATTTTTACAATAAATATGAACAAGTTCATGTAAAGTTGCTTGTTCATTTGATGTCATTGTTGAAAATCGATTATGTTCTTTTAATAAATCAATTAAATAATTATAAATTATTTCACAATCTTTTTTAGCTTGTTCTTGATATATTTCAACTAATTTAACATATGAATTTGTATTTGTTATCATATCAGGTACTTCACCACGAACAGGTAATAAACCATGACCTTCATTTTGTGTGAATAATTTCATTGCATTTATAATAAACCAAAACATATGAGATTGATTTGATAATTCTAAACAACAACGATCATGAAATAAATTATTTATTATTAATGATAAATTTGTATTAACAAGATGTGATGGTATTGTTCGTTTAGCTTCTTCAAAATTTTCTACATGTTTATTTAAATCATTTATATCATATGCTGAATGATTTGATAATTGTTCAAGAATTTGTTTAAATTCATTTTTTTCTTGACGTGTATGTGGTAAATCAGTACGATTAGTTTGTTTTTGCCAATATTGTAATGCTTTATATTGAATAATAAGTGATGGTATATGTAAATGTTCTTCACGTGTTAAATTATTAAAATCAATTGAATTACAATGATTAATAAATGATTTTAATGGACGATCAAGACGAAGATCAGGTATTGTATCATCAGGATGAGCTTCAATAATATAATGTTCAACTACTTGAAGACGAATTGTACCAATAAAACTAAAGAAAAAAATAAATAAATAACCAACAAAAATAAATTTCTTTTTTTTTCTTTTTGATTACCCATAAGTACGAGCAACAAGTAAAGGTATTTTAAGTGTCCATAAATGATTAGCAAGTATAACTAATGTATTTAATGGAAGATTAGCTGTAATAACAACATTAAATTGACTAAAATCAAATGTATTTTGTTTAAGTAAATCATCAATTGATGGTTTATCAATAAATATACCATGTACATCAGGATTAAGTTGTTTTAATAATTCACAAGTAACACGAGCACGTGATTGATCAATCATAGATGGATGAACAAAAAAATTTGATCCACAATCAGCTAATGTTACTAATTGATGATCAATTATTGTAAATGAACCAAGACCAGGTAAAACAAGAGCTTTAAGAGTTTCAGTACCTAATGCATTAGCACCAATTAAACATACACGTCCACCTTCTAAAGCTTTTTGTCCATGATCACCCCAAAGACGAAGTTGACGATCATATTGAATTTGTTTTGTATCTGGACCGGATACTTTACTCATCTTAATCTTAAATAAGGAAAAACACTATCAAACAAAAATTTTTCAATGTACATTGAGAAATTTAGATTCTCTTTTGAAACAAAAAAAAACAGGACTGTTATAAAAAGATCCTCATTGAGTTTCTTGTAAGTTTCGTTTTTTTTTTCGTCTAAAAGATTGATATTTTAGTTTTTGATCGAGTCAATTATAGATCTTGATCGGAAGGAGCGAGATGCTAGTTCCTTTCCACTTTTCATATTATGTCTGCAAAAATATTGAGAAACTACCAAAAACTGTCTGCCAAATTCTAACAGACATTTCTGCATACTATACGGACTTTGTCATTCCTGAAAATTATCGAGTGCTATGGGGTCAATATTGTACTGAAAATTTTCTTCTTACGAGAAACCTACACGAACTGATACCTGCCGTTTTACCTCATATTAGGTTGACAAGGAGGTCTCGGTAAGGTTAGAAAAAACCTAAAAAGATTCAGACCTATAGACCTCTGGAACCGAGTTATGATCGTTTGACTGAATTTTTGACCCTACTTTAGATATTTACCCAAAAAATCCAATGACGGTATTTCGATCTGAAATTTTCCCCACGGATAGGTCTGATGACTTAAAGAATATCCTGAAAGTTTTAGTCCAAAAGAATATTCCTTTGTCAAGATATTGAATTTTCAAGTAAACTTGATTTTTGAGACAAACGACTATTTTTTGAAAATTTAACACGTCAAAAAAGAACCATTCATTTCGGCTGAAACTTTCAATTTACTTCCAGAGTCATCAGACCTATCCTGTGGGCAAAACTTCAGATTGAAATGCCATTATTGAATTTTTTGGTAAATATCTATAGTAGGATCAAAAATTCAGTAAAATGGTCATAACTCGGTTTCAAAGGTCTATAGATATGAACCTTTTTAAGATTTTTCTAGTCTTACCGAGATCTTCTGGTGAACTCAATACAAGTTCAAACGGCGCGTATCACTTCTGGCAGTTCCCTCGTTAGTAGAAAAGGAAAAATAATTCAAACATTTTTTTTATTTATCAGATGATATATATTAGTTTAGTTAAGATCAAAATTTATTTGTTTTTCTTGAAAGAGAATAAAAACACAAACGATCATGTGCAATATAATAAACTTGAACTAAATTTTCATTTCTGAATATAATATTAATTAATTCAATAAATAAAGAATTTAAAAATAATTCTACATACTACAATATAGTTATTTCTGTTCTATTTATTAATTCAACAATTAATCTATATCATTCAATCAAGTTTCCTTATTGATAATTATTCTTTCAATATCTAGAGTGAAATTAAAACTTTAAATTATCAAAAAAAACAAAAATATTTCATTATTTTTCTTATATAATATATATATAAAATATTAATATTTTATAAATTTAAACAATTCTATAAATACAAATAAAATCGATTTTAATCACTATCTTCATCATCATAATTAACACCGGTTGCTGCTTTACGTCGTTTAATAGTCGGATTAATTAAACTCTTTGGTGTATGTTCTTGTGATTTCATCATATTAATTTTTTGATTATTTGAATCAAGTAATTTATTATCATCAAAAATTCGATTCGTACCACTTGAACGTAATTGTTCACGTTCTGTTTTACTTGATAATTCTTTTAAACGTAATTGTTGTGTTTTAATTTCAGCTGATAATTGTTCATTACGTTTATAAATATGTAAAAGAATTTTACTTAAAAATGAAGCTTTTTCTTCATCATTAATATTTTCATAAAGTTGAAGAGTTATTGATTGTTTATTTTTTGGATGTGTAAATGTTACATTAATTTGTGAAACTTCATATTGACTATCACTATTTGTTTTTGAAGCTTTAGCAAGAGTAAAATCCGATTCATTTATACGTTCAGAAAGAAAAATCATTGTTTCACCAAGTTCTGTTATATCTAAAAGACGTGCATTTAATTGAAATGCACGTTCATCTAATGCTGTTGACCATATTGTAACAGATTCTAATTTATCCAAACATGCAATTAACTAAAGAAAAGTTGTTGTTTTTTTTTTTGAAAAAAAATTCTTTTTACTTGTAATGTTTTTGTTTTCGTATCAATCAATGAAGCAAATATAATATCATCACTATGCGAACCAACTTTCAATGATTTTCGTGTGACAATATAATCAAGATTTGATTTACGAAGAAGTTCAACAAATGCTGACGACATTCTAATACATATGTTTATCTAGAATAAAGTAATGATTTTTATAGAAAAATTTTCAACAAAAAAAAAAAGAAAAACATTTAATTTTGTTTTTAATTCTATCAATTAAGAAAGTCTTTCTTGAAGTTCATCGATGGATAGAGTATCGACTTGAAAAACTTCAGCAAATGGTTGAATATTACCAGTTGGATTATGAGCTTTCATAGCATTATGATCATTAATAATAGCAAAAACTATGTATTTAAATGATTTTTTATATTTTGTTGCAATTACTTCATGAAATAACTGTGCTATAATAGAATGAATAATAATAATTAATATAATATGTAACTATCATTGATTCTTACCAATATGTTTTGGAGGATTTTGAAAAGCACCACTAAATAAAAAAAAATGAATTTATTTTGATATAGAAATTATTATACATCTATGAAAATGTCAATCAGAATGAATTAATTCAAAGTAATTATCAAAAACAACTAGAAATTTTCGTCATTAAATAATAAATAAATTCGAAAAAAAAAACAACAACAAACGAATTGTTCTGTAAGAAAATCCATCTTCTTAATATCGAGCATCACTATATACCGAATACAACTGATTCTTCATTGTTTTCCCATTAGCAATGTTATAATCGACTATACATTTTTAAGATACTAATTATATATGATATTCAATATCTAAGTATTGTGATAAAAGTATTATATAATAATTCGCTAATCATATTCAGACCTGAAGTAGGTATCGAATACAAGATGGATCTGGTTTTTTTTTGTCAATTGAAGAAAATTCAATCGATTTCAAGTCTGTCTCATATATATGTTCCATATTTCAAATAGGATAATTATTTCTTTTTTTGTTTTATTTTAATATTCATTTAATACTTACCATCCTAATGCTGATAATATTAAAATATCATGTTTATTTTCGAGTGCAATTTTGAAAATACTTTCCATTTTATTTTTCATATTTTGTATTACATGTTTACCACTTAATTTCAATTCTCCATTTTCATCTGTTTCTGTTGGTGGATGAGAATAAGCTGCACAAGCAATAAATGAAATATATTCTGGACCATTCGGGAAAAATGGATAACCATTAGATTCTGAACCACGAAAAACACTTACATTTGGAGTATAAACACCACCAAACTTTAAAAAAAAAACAAATTGTTTTTTCCTTCTTGGCATAAGTTTATAAAAAAAAAAAAAGGTAAAACTTACTTCAGGTATATGATAATCCCAATTTCGTTGACCTTCTAATTCATGATAAGGATCTTCAAGACATTGAAACATATTTGTACGACGATGAAGATTTTCTTCTTGTGCACCAGCACCTAGATATAATAAAATATAATTTAATATTATCAAATATATATTCAAATAAGTATACCATTTTTCCAACCGCCACCAGGATTTCTTGCTGAAGCCATATTTAATACAACTGGATTCGATTTTGGATATTTATCTTTGAAATACATGACAACATCAAGACAATCACCATTAATAACAAATATTTGACATGACTGTTCGTAAGTATATTGTTGAAATGTTGTATCATATTCATAATCATTACCGTATTGCCGAGTATTTTGAGCTGCATATGCCATTCTATTCTTGTCTAAATTTATTTTAGCACCATTCGGAAGCCGATAGAATCTAAGTAAATTAACAAAATAAGACTATGTAAAAAAAAAAAACTCGCGATTAAATTTTATTTGTACCCATTGCATACAGCATTGATTGTTTGTATTTGTACCATTTTACGCATCATACGTCGTGTATTTGGACGAATAGTTGTCGAATTCCATACATTTGCAAAATCCTCATGACTATGTAAATAATTAAGAGCTAAATTACGTGCATTATCATCATTTCTTAAAGATTCGAGTTGTTTGCATAAAGAACAAGTATCTGTTGGATCTTTAAGTGATGATGGAATTTGTATATCGAATGGTGCACTAAGTGACTGATTTTTTCGACGTCTTCGTCGATCATTATAATAATTTGCACTGGCCATAATAAAAATCAAGAGTAAATTGGAAAAATAATGGTCTTTCAAAAGTTACAAATGACTTAAATATATGTATTATTTCATAAATAATATGATATTTGTGAAATTCTTTTACGCGAATATTAAATTAGAATAGGAAATGATACATATACTAATTACATATTGATAGGTAATCAGAATTTCACAATTATCTATTCATTATATTTTATGAAAACATTACAACCAATTTTATTTTCCCTTTCTTCATTTGTTGGTTGTCAATAATGAATCACCTGAAAGAAAAAAAAACTCTGTTTTCCATTCAAGACAATGTACTGCAATTACATAAAAGGATAGAGGGCGCACGTCATTTTTTAAGATTATTTTATCGGTTTCATTTAGTAAAAAAGAAAAAGTTTCTCTATTTTTCAGTAAAATAAATTGCATCACTATATATCATTCAGGACTTTAATTGATATAGGTTTAGATGAAAGAACAATTCTATCTACAAAATAAGATTTCAGTACTTCGACGGGATACACATCCGCACACTCGCAATCACATGCAATGTTGTGCATTGTGCGTTCAAGTGAATGAGTATATGATCAGAGAAATTAGCGAATACGATGTGTACATCTCATAAAAGAACTAAGATTTCTTAGAAATTCTAATACAAATAGAAGAATTCTAATATTATTTTTGATTAACAGTTTCTGAAAAACTTTGATTGTATTGATTTATATTCGAAGGAAAAAAATTATAATAAAAGTAGCATTAAAGATTTAATTAATTTCTAAATGAAACGATTCAGTTCTTATGCGATAGATATAGTGATATTCACAAACGAATGAAAAAACTATTATAACTTATCATCGTCTAAGACTTTAGTTTGATTTAATGTTTTAGACTACAAGCATTTTTACTTCAAATCTTGTCCAATATCAACTAATGAAAGAAAAACAATACAGCTTATTCATATAAAAGATTACAAGTTTAATGCACATTTGATTTGAAAGATTATATCATTATTTTCAACAAAGCATCGTTTGCAGAGGTTTCATTATTTTAAAATTCAATAAATAAGAATAATAACAGTTGAAAAGATATTGTTGATTTTTCATGATATTATGATTGATATCCATAGGCGGCGGAAGCCATTAGGCTTGGATAGGATTACACCTACCCAAGCCTAATGGCTTCCGCCACCTATGTTGATATCTAAACCTAACTGTGAAATTTTTGTAAATTAAGATATAAAAAAATAGTGCTCTAAATCCTGCACTACAATACTTTGATGAGTTAAATTATATAAGTAGATTCTAGTCAAAGTAAAACAATAAAAAAAATGGTGAAATTGAGTTTCAGCAAAAACCTTTCTGCTAAGAGAATGTAATGCTTATGAGCTTCAATATGAAGATAATATTTCTGTAGAAATATTTGCTGATTTTATGGTACAAAAACTTTTAGAAATGAATTAACACTGCGTAGGATGTTTTCTTTTTATTAGGAAACAAACTCATTAGCCACTAACACATTGTCTATATTTTTGAACAAGTTATGATTGTAATTAATGAAAAAATGTTGTTTCTTGGAAGTTTAATTATAAAAAATTTGTATATTAAGTAATTGATTTTTATAGTACTGAATTTATTGAATTTCTTTTAGTTCCGATGAACTCCGACTATAATATCTATTCTCTTTTAATCATTAATTCTTTAATATATTCATTTTTACTCAGGTTTTGTCCTTGAATTTGCTACTTGAATTCTCATATTCTGCTTTTCTTGAGGTTCAAAAATAATTAACAATTTTCATTCATCTAGAAAAAAAAACCTAACTTATTAACTATTTATTTTTATCTCGGCAAAAATGAATATATTTTTGTTTAATTATAATTTCAATTTTCTGTCTTTTTTTTTTTTTAAAGAAACAAACGAAGATAGAAAGAGAGAGTAATGTCTCTTCTCAAGTCAAAATAAAAATAAGAAGTCTATAAGAGATAAGAATGATGTTTTTCTGCTCGAATAAAAAGATGAATTAGATTTAATATTTGCTTAATCCTATATGAATAAGATTACTGATTATATAGAATTATGTTTATCGAAAGTCTGCTCAGATAGAAGATAATAATTAAGTTCATACATAAAATCCAATCTAAATTAAATCAATATAATTGATAATAATTACATTTGTTTATTTAAATATATTTTATCATATTCAATAGATATTTTATTTATATTTCAGTGTAGTGATCGATTTTAAAATTTTATCAATGAAAATAATTATCAAATATAGTTATTAGAAAGTTAATTCTTTGAATGTTAAACAAAATAAATGTTATAAATCGTTAATGTCGAATTAATGTTTTAATTTTTTTAAATTTTATTGTGAATATATAAGTTTGATATGAATGTTTGCCTTTGAAAAAAGCAAATATGATGATTCTTAAAATCTTTTTTCATCATAGTTTTTTTTTATACCTATATGCGCTCGAAATGTTTACTTTTTTTTCCGAATAGACTTTCCGTTTTGTCTATTAATAATGTATATATATATTTTTTTTTGTATCTACAAAATATCATTTTTTTATAAAGAAGTTTTAAAATTAATTTATACTATTTCGCTGAATGTTGTTGTTTGTATAGTAAATAAAGAAAAAAAATATTTCAAATTTGTATTCAAAAAAAAAACAATATGTTTCTTTTCTTTTGATTTTTTATAGAATTATTTGATAGAAAAAGGTTAAAATTTGAATGAACATTTCCTAGTTGTTTTCAATGTTATCTATCTAGATCTATTGCTTGTTCCCATTCGATGTCTATCATTTCTTTGATATTATACATTGTTAACCTTCAGATTATTTTCATACATTTTTATGATCTAAAAAAATACAAGTACCGGATATCACAATCAATATGCACATCATGTTGTAGTATAGTTTTATTTCTAATAAAAATGAACAAAAGAATAAAGTAGTATGCTTACGATAGTTGAGAATTGATGTTATTAAAAAAAAGAATGTCTCGTCCTTATATTAATTTATTCCTTACTTTTCCCTTTGACTTGATGAACCTATTGTAAATAGAGGCAAAAAAAAAGAAACAGCTCGCTCTATAGAATTTATTTAGTAGTCATTGTATAAAAGACCCTATCATTTACAAAACATCAATAAACAATTGTACCAAATATCAAAAGAAATCTAACTACACGATATTATTGATTCGAAAGAAGAGATAGAATATATATTGTAGATCGAGAGAGAGAAAAAAAAGAGAAAGAAAAGAAAAGCAGAAAGTATTTCATTTTATTATTTCCTTCGGACACACTCATATTTCTTGATAATCATCATCATGTCATCATCAACAGGTATAAACTTTTTCTTTTTTTTTTCTTTATGCTTCTTATTTGACTTTGGATTAATTTGTCAAGGTATTACTCAACATGTATCTAGTATTGTAAAGTTAAATCGGTTTTTAATCTTGACAGTTACTCTTATTGGTATGTTATCGTATTATTTATTAATTTTAATTATTTCTTTCTTATTTTAATTAGTTTGTTGTTCGTGTATTTATTCGAAACCAATAGATCTCGATCAATTACAAGAATATGAAGTTATCAATAGTCATCACCCAATTATCTTATCTCGATCTGAGTGGGATTTAGTTCAACGAGCAGCACCACGTCTTGGACGTGCTTCACCTCGACTTGGCCGTGCTTCACCTCGACTTGGTCGTGCTTCACCCCGACTTGGCCGTGCTTCACCTCGACTTGGTCGTGCTTCACCCCGACTTGGTCGTGCTTCACCTCGACTTGGCCGTGCTTCACCACGTCTTGGTCGACATGTCGTTGATTTGATGTCACGATTAAATCACCTTGGTCAATATTATAATGTAGATGATGATTATATTAGCAACGATGATCCATATGAAATCGAATATTTGACGCATGAACAACGAGCAGCACCAAGACTTGGACGTGCCATTAAACTTGATCAACATCGATAATATGCTTGAATAAACACTAACCTACTATATTTAAGTATTATTGATTTATATGAGATATTTACAGAGAGAGAAAAATGAAACAAATCTGTAGAAAATCTATGAAAATCAAGTCGTAATCATGTTTCACATTTTATTATTAATATTGTTGATTATTGTTTGAAATTTATTACAAAGCGTGTGTGTGTGTGTGCGTAAGAACAAACTACAGAAATTCAATGAGAACAAATCATATTATTCCATATTAAACAAACAAATAATCATTTAAGAGTATAACAAAAAAAAACAAAGATTAAAAAGCGAAATAAGCATAAATTCTAAAAGAGAACAATTTGTGATAATACTCAAACATAACTTTAGTATTAATGACAATGATTCGAAGGAATGATGGAGAAATGTGTCCTACTAATATCTTTTTACTAATAATCATCTTCACTTTTTGATAGATCAAATAAAAATAAAGATAACGTTCAGGTTGTAAATCACGAGTCAAACAATCTTGAAATGAATAATATTGATTCATATAGTACCATAATATTATATTTCTTTTCATCATCATGAACAAGAGAAAAAAAATTATTTTAACCAAATAATTGTTGATAATAATTTGGAATTTTATGGTCAGATTGATCAACACTAACATCTGTTACACAATAAAGTATGTTACTCGTAATCGAAAGAAATACTTAGTTTATTTCTTAAAAAAATCATGACTTCAATCTCTTATTACTTTGCAATTCTATTGCATAACAAAAATTATGTTCAATCATATTACTAGTCAGTTGTTTAATTTGTTCAATTAATGTTGTTTTTGTCGATTTTCATGTACTCAAAGATCGAACAAGTTTTCAAATATTTTTATTTTCTTGTACATCCTTGCTCATTATTTATTTTCATTATCATATTTGTAATCTGATTTTGATTGATTAACAGCAACAAGTAGATGATTAATATTAATTAATGATTATTGTTTATGATCAAAGATTAGAATTTGTTGTTGAATAAGTGAATGAATAGTTTCTTGATGTTGATGAATTATTTTTATTCAACTCCAATCATCTTCTATAATATTTTTGAGTTTATGATGAAGAATGAATAAAATTAGCAGTAAACATTGGAAGAATATTAATAAATAATGATAGTTATCATTGAAAAGCGATATGTTGTATGTTTCGATGATGATGATGATGAAATGAAATGCTTGAATTAAATTCATAAATGAAATAACTACCATGTTTAATAGCAAAAAGATAATTAATGATTCTTTTAGTTTTTTTGAATAGAAACTAAACTTTGATTGTAATTGAGAATCCAAGAAAATAATGTTCGTTTTATTTGATGATGAAATTGAATATTCATGATTTCCAATAAAAATGACAGAAATGTTTTGTTAATATGGAATAAAGTATTGATGTATTTGAGCTGCAAATGAACCAGTAATATAATAAAATTTTATTCGAACATAGATTTCCTAGACGGTAATTATTTATTGTCGGTATAACAGAAGCCAGCTTCTAGGTGAATTGCGATGAGTTCTTCGAAAATTCAAAAGTTTTTTTAGGTACTATTTTTGCAGTTATTAAGTTTTGTCTATATGATAGATGAGTCGTTTTCGGAAAGTGACTAGTAGAATCAATAGAACTCGTTGAATTTTAGATTCAGTCCATTGTTGATCTAAATAAAGCCAGAGTTGTTACAAATCTATTTAGAAAATACTCGAATCATTATGTAAGATATTCTACGTGATTACGTCAATGGGAAATCATATTTGTTGAAGATTTGAAATTTTTTTCACTTCGATTATTATTCCATTTTGTTCTATTCAATTTATGATTTATGATTTCACAAAAAAAAAATATAATTATGAGGAAATCAGTTAATAAAAATAAGAAATATATGATTTATAACAACATAAAAGGACGTAATGTCACATATTTCGTGTTTCAATTAAAGAAGATACGAAGTTTTGTAAAAATTTGCAAGCATTCAAATATCCTTCAAGCTCGTAGAATCTTAGTGATAATACGATGTTTTTCTAAAATACAAATATCAATAAGCATCAATGATACTGAATAGTGGAACTGTTAATGAATATACCGAGAGTAATAACGAATCTAATTAACAAGTTGAATAGTTAAAACAAGTCAACAAGTGATAATATTATAAGTGTTAGAAATCGTTATACATTCAATTGTCCACATGCATGTACTTGAACTTTTATTAAAAATAGAAAAAATATAACTACACTGAATGTTTTTATTATTATATTTTATAGATCGTCCTGAAATATGATTTTTGATGATGTGATAATTCTAATTTAGAGAATTATTCATATAGCAAACTGATTTATCAGGACAAAGTTAAATTTATTTATTCACATTATACAAAAAAATTATTTAACTACGAAAGATAATTTCATTGATATGATATAAAAAATTATTTGCAAAACTTCTAACTGATAAGTTATTTAGAACTTTGCATTTTTGTTTTTCTTTAATAAATAATCATTATCTCATATTATATTTTATCTTTGATTGTTCATTAGTTAAATCAATATTGTATGTTTTTTCTCGCTTATCAATTTGAAAAAATTTTTCTTTTCAATATAATATTGTCTTTTGTTCTAACGTATTGATAATTTTCAAATTACAAAAAACAAAAAACAAAGAAAAGAAAGACATATTATCAAGGAAAAAAAAAACACAAAAACAACGGTATTGATAATCAAGAGAAAAATACATTGATATTATACATATAATTAAAAAACAGTATTAATAATCGGTTTTTTTTTTACTGTCATTTCTCTTTAGATCATCACATCAGACAAACTTAACTACAGCTATACATTGAATATCACGAATAACAACAACAACAACAAAAAAATATGCGATGAAACAACAAAAACAACATATCACCCGTGAGATTTGATGAGTATGTCTTTATGAAATCAACAATTATTTTAATATACATATACATTGATAACTAATATATAGAATTATTTTATATTAAAGACAAAAACGCACAAATACAAAAACAACATTGACCTGAGAAAAAAAAAATGAAAAGAAAAAATTGAAAAAAAAAATAGATTTGACTAGGTATCAATATCAATCGAAATGTCATTAAGTTCTTTTTCAATGCCAATCGATTGTAAAGCAAGTATCAAATAATCACTTAAATTTGCATATTCATTTGATTTTTGCTCACGTGCTATTCGAAAACAAAGACGTATTAAATATATACAATAATTATACATTGAATTATCAAAATCAATAGATGATATTGATATTTCACATTTAATATGTTCAATATAACGTTCAATCATTAATGAATTATTTGATGATTGAAAAACAATTTGATATTTTTCAAAATTAGATAATAAATTTGAAAAATTTTCATTATAAATATCTTCATTATTTATTGATATAAAATATATTAATAATTGATGCCAACAAATTTCACGAATAAGTGGTTTTCTATCTGCAGTTGAATCTTTATAGAAGGACAAAAAAAAAAAATTCTTTTTTTCTTTTTTTTTTTCAAATAATAGAAAAACTTACGTTGACCAAAAATATTTTGTTTTCTTAACCAATTATTCATTATTTCAATAAATAAAATTTTTGATAAAGACATTGGATTTGTTTGTTGATCATATTCAATAATATCATGTTTAAATAATTTCAAATTATTTATAATAGTTGATTTTATTGAACGTAAATAAAGATGAGCTTTATCTGAATAAGCTGGCCAAAAAATTTTTAATTTTAATTCATTATTTTCAATTAATCGTTTTGTTATATTACGCATTGCACGTCCAATAACAATATGTTTTGATATATGATTATTATTATTATTATTTAAATTTTGATTCTTTCTTTTTAATTCAGTTAATAATGTACCAAATAACCAAGGAAAACTTAATATACGAGAACGTGCCTTTGTTGATTGTTTAGCAGCTTGTGAATAACAAACATAATAACAAGCAGCTGCTCGTGCTAATTTAATTTCTTCACATTCAGTACATGATGAATCACGTGTACATATATTATTATGTAATGGTTTTAAATTTAAATCTTGAGATAATTGATTAAAATCATGATAAAAATATCGACGTGTTGTATCAATTAAACGTTGTAATTCAAGACCAGCTGATATATTAAGATCTTGTTTACCTGATGCTATTTGATCAAGTGCTTCACAACGACAAAATAAATCAATTTCATCTTGATAATTAAATACACTTATTATATTACGTAAATTTTCACGATACATTGAAAATAAATTTCTTGCCCATCGTGTTTGAGATTTAGCTAATGGATGATTTAAATCAGAATCAAGATTTAATGATGGTTCATGATAATTTCCTGTATTATCACATGATTGTTGTCGCCATGTATTATGAGAATAAGTTGAATGATTAGTATTTGATATTTCAAAATTATTATTATTATCATCATCATCATTTAATTCATCTTCAATTTGTACTGCATGTAAATGACGTAAACTACAATGTGTTCGAGCAGCTTTATGCCATCGAATAATTGCACGTCGTGCTGATCGATATAATTGTCCTGAAAAACAAAAAAATCAATTTCAATATTACAAAAACAAAATCTTTCTTAATTATACCAATAATTTTTTCTGATAGATATGATTTATAACGTTCTTTCATCATAAAATCTGGATAACGTTCTTTAAGTAAATGTACACGATAGGCATGTAATTCTTCATTTGTTATTGGATGTTTACCAGTTTTTGGTGCATCAAGTTCTTGTGAAATAAGACCTGCTAAACGTACAACTTCAGGATGACGTGTACTTAATAAATCAGCTAATGCTAAATGTAAATTTGACATATCACCAGTTAAATTTTGTGCAGCTATATCAAGAACAATTTCATTAATATCATTTCTTTCAACAGGACGATCAAGTTTAATTGGTCTTTCTTGTGAATCATAATCATATGGATCATCATTTGTTGTTGATGGTACTAAATCTGGATCC